TACCACTAGATAGGCACTCAGCGCTGCACGTGCATGAAGCCCAAGCAGGGCTTCAGCAGCTGTGTAACCCCTCTGGACATCTCCCACCTTCCCCGCACAGTGTGGTGAACTGGACCTCCCCAAAGCATATGAGGACTAGACAACAGACAGGGTTATATCCAAAAGTGTGTCAGATGACAGTACTAGCAACTAGACTTGAAACCTGATGTGCTGGAGTGGGAAACTCTCTTGAATTTCCTATGATACAAAAAAATATAAATGCGATTGAAGACTGCATTGACCGGTAACATCAATAACACAAGAGGGGTTAAATTACTGTGAGCACATCAGGCTTGGACTCTCACTTACACAGCAGCTCTGCAGCCCTGACCAAAGGCTTAGGTGGCTGCTCTCATTCTGGAGTCTGGCATGGCTGCATGCTAACAAGGTGCAACCAAGCTGGGAGATAACAGCAGTTTGCCCCCCTAGCGTACAGGGAACACACACCCAAATTCCTTTTCCTTCCCTGGACGCTGCAGCCGCAATGTTTCCTCTGTATCCACAAATTTCTGCAACTGTTTACCACAATTTGCTCATCCCTGGAAGCACAAGTTATTTCAAACAGCAGGGCCCAAGCCCCACCTACCTGCTCCTGAAAGCCCAAAGTCACCAAGCTGTGATTAAAAATATCCAAAGGTGCATTTGTGGACTGTATGACCCAGCAGGTCTTTCACATCTAGAAAACAGAAATATTTTCTGTAGTTTAACAAGTTATTGAAAGGTCACTCCAGAAAGTATCTGGTAATAGAAGTATTCAGACACTTCTATTTCATCTCCTCCGGTGCGGGTAGTGTAGCTCAGCTGGTGGAGACTTACCTCAGGCTATAGCTCACCCTACAAGGGCTCATTCCTGGCACACTCTTGTTATTTATGTACCACACTGTGCAACATCAGCCTAGGTGTTTTAGAAATACAAGCTTTTTAAAAAAATATCCGGTCCTCTTCAGACACGGGAGAGAAAAGCACACCCTACACTTCTTAGCATTCAAGCAACAGATGAAGAACCCTCCATCAGCCATGCTTTACAGCTAAAATGAGCAGAACATCCACAGAGGAGGAAAAGTCATCTGACTTTGTAGCTTACCATCATGCAGAGACAAGAAGCAATACCTTCTAATACATGCTTGTTCCATATGCCCAACATGGTCCTGTCCCCAAACACTAACAGAGCTGCTGGTGGGTGGTGGTGACACCATCATTTCAGTATAGACATGTGCCAGTTACAGCATCTTTTCATCACACCTGCTATCAGTACTACACATTAATTCATGTCAGAAAGTAACAATTACCTGGGAGGAGGGGAAGAAGAAAAAAAAAAAACAGGACTCCTCTAATACAGAGCTAGCAATGGAGGCATGCAAGAACTCCACAATGTTGAAGCAACTGAGTTTCCTATTGGCTTCTTGTCCCACCCACTTTTTATTCTCTCCTGCCCAGCAGTCCTGCTGATTTTGAAGATGCTGGCACCTGAATCCAATGTAGTTGTTACCTAAGCAAGATGAGAAGCATCTGATTCCTCACCAGAACAGGCCTGAGGCCTCCAGAGGTTACATGCAGCCTCTGTGGTTACAAGCGCACAGACCACCTGTGAAATCCTGATCCTTTCACTAAACAATCCAGATTTCTTTTCAATTGGCCTTAATGTTTTTCATTTTAATCTTCCTCTCTTCTGTGAGGAAAGACACTGCGTTCTGCACCTTGAATACCATCCACAGCAGAGGTTATGGTGGCTCTTCCAAATACCAGCACATCCCAGAATGTAAAAGTCTGCCCAAATCAGGGAAAGAAGCTGTTGGGAAAATATCACAGCCATCAGAGGCCTGGCAGAAGCCAATAAAAAGACACCAAATGGCTCCCAGGGGGTGTCAAACCAACCTCTCCCAACAAACCCACGGGGGTGGGCACAGCTCAGAGTCCTACCGACCCCCAGCAAGGATACTGGGGTAAGCTGTGCTGCAGAATTGGGCTGACAATCTCCAACAGAATAAATGTAGCGGTTTCTGACTCCTTTCCAAGTCAGTGTTTGTTGGGAAACATCAAAGCCAGTGAAATAGTAGGTGTCCCAAAATGTCTTAATTCAGAGAATTAGTGTTAACCGAGTCTGATTAGCTCCATTTATCTCTAATTAATTACCTTTACCTAATTAGACACCCTGTTTCCAGTAGACATGGAGTCAAGTAGACTAGATTATTAGTGTAGTCATTGTGCCTTTACAAAATCCTGAAATTAATGAAACGTGCAAAAGAATCCGCGGCTTTAATTGCACAGGTGTTGCCTTATGGCAAAGCTTTATCATCTGATTACACCAAGGGATTATTAGTGACTTTTTATATAGAGGATGAGCCTGTGAAATGTACCTTAGCAACAGCTCATTAGTTTAGGGTTGTTACTGTATTATTTATTACATTCAGCCTTCCCCATTATCTAGATTGATTCATGGACCTATATTTTCCTCCCCTCTGTGCAGGAAATAAATAAATAAGTGAAGGCTGGCTATTGCCGCCCAGCTGCAATATGAGGGGAAGGCAGAGCGTATTCTCCAGCTACCAATATCCACCCTTTAAAATAAAGCTTTAAAGTTGATTTAAATAAAACTCTTTTTTTTCCCCTCCCTCAGCAAAGTAATCAATTCAAGCTTCTGTCAAACTGGAATGCTTTCTACATGCCATCCAAACAGTTTGGGCTATCTTAAATCTTTTCAGATAAATAAAAATACATTACTGGATTGAAGAATGAAGTACAATATTTTTACATCCAAAATATTTTTTTCTGCTGTAACTCATTCTTTATGAAATCTATCAGAAATATTTTATTTTGATATTTCTTTTAACTGTTTGGTTGTTGGCTACTTCTGCAGGTTTGGAGGGGTTTGCCAGATAGAAGAACTGCCTGAATAATAGAACCAAGACAAACAAAGCAAAGCAGCAAGCTCTGTGTTAAGAACCACTTTCCCCACAGAGGAACTACTTGTAGTCAAGGTTGAGAAGGCTTGACCTTACCTTCCTGCGTCCTTCTCAGAAACATCCCACTGGACTTGCTGGTACAGCAGCCCCAGTGCTGCCCCAAGCAGGGGAGGCTTCACTGACCAACCAGAAATCCTTAAGGAGCCAGTAAACATAATGATAAGGAATTGTTTACCAAAAATATCCAGAATATTAGCTTATTTGAATCATTACATAATATTCTTTGATTATTATGTAAAACCTTGCTGTCCACATATTGCTGAATTTTTTAAAAAGGGGGAAAATAATTGGTAAGAGTTATTATGTAGGGTATGACAACTCATTTGAGCAGCAATAATGACTATCTAATGACAAACACAATTATGTAACATCTCATGTCTGCATTACAGAAAATGTGAATTCTAATCTCAAGACCATGGTTCTAACAAACAGAATTAGTACATATATCACCTTGCAGTGTGTTCATGTGGTTTCATGTGACACACATGTAAGTGGTGTCATCCTGCAATAAAGGCGCTAGCGATGGCTTAGGGCTGCTCTGCCAAATAGAGATGACTTGCATGGACAGAACCTAACTATGTAAAAGAAATGGGACACCTACCTGCTATAGGCCTTTTGAGACTGCTGCTCTCCCAAGACTCCCCGGTCTGTCCTGGTTTCAGCTGGGACAGAGTTAGGTTTTTTCCTAGTAGCTGCTGTGTTTTGGATTTAGTATGAGAAAAATGTTGATAGCACACACATTGGGACCACCAAGCACACACACATGCTTCACAGGAGCAAAGCAGTTGTAGGGTCTCCGATCCACCAAAGGTGTGACATCAGCAAAGGTGTGAGCCATGGTCCCAAAACTACTGCATGACATGTGTTCACTTTATTAATCTACATCTTTTCTTTAGAATTAAGTCCCAGCAAAGCTCATGCCTTGATAGTCTTGACAAAACTCCATCCCTTCCTGCCTCCCTGGTGCCCCCCAGTAGGATATAAAGGATGTCTTGCCCCTCATCCTCAGGGACATCAATGCAGCTGCCCTCCTCTGAGCAGGAAGCATTGAGCCATAAAATGCATCTTCATCCACCTGCGCACCCACTGTGAAATCCCATGGATCAGCACTTACCTGGAGAGTGGGAGGTGCAAGGTTGACTATCTTTAAAACTCCAGCAGCATGGATGATGAAGGTGGGGAGAGAGACTCTCCTAGATCTTCCTTGAAGGCTTCCACCTTCTACCTTTAGTGGAAACCTTCAAGTAATGTCTAGGAAACTCTCCCCTCTCCTCAATCACCCATGCTGCTGCGCAACAAGATATCCAAGAACTGGCAAGTAGGAAAGTCCAGGCATGAGAGAAAAGGAGACCCAACATCACTGAAGATCTTTGATAACTTTCATTAGACAGTATCACAGACAACACTGGAGGAGCACTGGGCATGCCAGATCCTCTTACACATGCTCTCAGCATCATAGGTGACAACTAGTCGGACAAGGCATGGGGTCAAAGCCCACAGTCATGCTTGCAGTGTGCTGGGTCCACGTACCCCAGAAATACTAACTGGCTGTGGAAAAAATAAAGATTATTTGTGAGGTGTTTGTACGGGCTTAGAAATAGGACCCCCACTTGCATTTACATTTTGATTTGTGATCAGAGCAAACCTTTCCTCCACACTCTCAGTTGCCTTCCCATGGAATACAGTCAGATTCATGAATGTTGTCTGTGCCTTCAGTGCAGCCACAGAGCCATGCCCAGGGTGCACCAGCGATGCTGAGAAAAGGTTGTTGTTCAGAGCTTTATTTCTCACAGAGGTTTCAAGCACATCTGTGCAGAAAACAGCACTTTCTTAGGAACCAGTCTGAAATACATGGAAGAAATTCCCATGGGATGGAGGGTTCACTCTATCTCTCACCACTTCCTACGCAAAGAACTCTGACCTCACCTTCAATAATGAAAACAAGCAGCACAGTAGACAAGAATGAAAGATATTAAATATTTATTTAAAGGACATAAACAAACAGTTTTTCCAGTGGGAGGAAGAGAATTACAAGAGAGATGCTGGTCACATCACTTAATAGGAGGCAGCCTAGCAACCCGCGGGAGAAGCAGGGCTCTGCCTTGTGAGGGAAGGTGAGCACCAGGAGCACCTCGTGTGTGCACGCACCCACATCCCCACGAGAACCACTTCTAGAAAGCGAGGAAGCAGCCAAGGGCAGACCCCAAAATAAACACTGCTGCTTCGCTTCTATGATTTGTTTTCCATTCATAAGTCTTGAGTGCTTTCCCAAAGGCAGGTATCACACAATTCTCACCAGATGAGAAACTGGAGCAAGGAGGAAATGCCACTTACCAAGGTCACCCAGACCTGCAGCAGCTCTTCTTCCTCCGGCTTGCATCCTCTTTCAAAAGGCACACATCTGCCTTTCCCACGAGGTGCCATGTCGAGAGGGACTTGCTCTGCTGCTTTTCCCTTTGTCCCCTGGTGGCAGCCATGGGATGGCTGCTGGTCTGTTTGATGAGCAGGCCCTGGCACGCTCCTCCTGCTGCTGGCACCAGTCCTTGAAGAGCTGGCTGGCACCAGCTGTTGCAGTGAGCTCGGACAGGCTGTCTCCCATGATCCAAGTGCCAACTATTTGGAGGAGCCAGACGCCGGGCTGGCAGGTCTAATGGGAGTATGCATCCAAAGTCAGATACGGCTGCCTCCTGCAGGAGCCAGGCCCTGCTCAGGGGATGGACACAAGCTCTAGGTGACCAATACAGCCTTAGAAAATGAAAACCAACTAAGGAAGGATGGCTGGGTCAAGGATAGCAGGCAGGATGGAACAGTTACAGAACCACTGTGTGCTAGAAGTGGACCCAGTAACAAGCTGAAGCAAAGCGGCATCACTGCTATCCCTTTAGGGATAGAAATCAGAGTCTGGCAGCTCTGAGGCCCAGGTATCCTTCCCAGGCACATGGTCCGGGTCACAGATCATACTAGACCAGGGACATGATGATCCTTCCAGCTGCCCCTGGGGAAGCCCCACAACATGCTGACGTGGGGCTCACAGTCGTGGTCCCAGGCTGAACTGGAGCTTCTACCAGCTGTACTTTCTTTGCTGCTAGCTTCAAATTAAAACACCTCTCCTGGACTCCACACGGGTACAACAACAGCATTAAGATTTCTTTAATGTCCACTCCCAGTTAGCGGCAGGACTGGCTCTTGTCCAAGCCTGCGGGGCTGCCCAGACACTTAATGGCCTACAGCAACTCCAGAAGACGTGCAGCAGCTGCAGGGCCACCTCCACCCTCTCACCCAGCCCCAACAGCTTTTCCATCCCCGCTTTCCAGCTTCCCTTCTCCAAGAGCATTTTTCATTTAACTTTACTTGCTCACCTTTTCAATCACCCCGCACACCTGGGCGCCAGCCACTCGCCACCACCGACAAGCAGAGCCGCAGCGCTCACAGCTTCCCCACAAACACAGGCTCCCGCTTTTGGGGTAGCTCCCCTCTCCCCCCTCATCCCTATTTTTAGGGTAAGCAAAAAAAAAAAAAAAAGCCACGAAATGGGGGCGAGCTCCAAGGGTGCGGGCCAGCCCTGGGGGATGCTGCGGCGGCCCCACCGTCCTCAGCGGCTCCGTGGGGCGGTGGCTAATTGCCCCCGTAAATCACCACGCAGCACCGCGCTCCGCCGTTTATTTTTCTGACAGTAATTTAGTGCTTGCTCTTTTCCACACTTGTCACCGCGTGTTTTTCCTCACATTAGAAGCCTGTAGAAAAAGGACAGTAATTAACGGTGCAATACATCCTGGCGGAGGCTCTTTCATCACACTGTGATAATTGCCCCCCGTGACTGTCAGGGCGGCCGCCGCCCCCCCGGCCCCGCCGCGCCGCCCCATTTGTCACGCCGCGGCCGCGGGCTCCCGGCTCCGCACCCGCGCAACGGCTCCCCCCCCACGCTCCGTGGAGAGAGGGGAGCTGCTACCCTCAGGATGATCTCCCACGCGTGGGGAAGAAGGGTCTGGCTGTGGGTGTGGGGGGAATCAGCCGGGTTTGGGTTTTTACAGGGATGGGGGGGGGTGGAGAGGGGGTGAGGATTGGGGTTTTGTTTTGGTTGGGTTTTTTGGGGGGGAAACGCCGGTTCTGCGCTGGGGAGGGCCCTGCCACCGAGCCCATCCCCGGGAGCAAGCGGGGGCCCCGGGTGCCCGCCCGGCCCCGCAGCCGCGGAGGGACAACTCCCCGCAACAGCCTGGCTCAGCCGCGTTTTGACAAGACTTCAGATGTCCCTGCGTGTCCCCGGCCGCTCCCCAGCCTTCACTCCGCCGCCGGGCTCCCGCTCCTTTCTTCCTCTGTCACCGACAGAGGCTAATGGGATGCGTGGTCAAGATTTTGGGATCCATCACTGCCTCCGCGAGAAATTAGCATGGAGCCCATGCGTCAGCTGCCAGAGCTGTCAGCAGCCCTCTTCTTCGCTCTTCATTAGGTGCTCCTCTCTCCCGCTACCTGCCCGCCGGTAGCCCGGGAGCCGCTCCCGCCCCGCCCG